TTTTTATCCTTAAAAAAACAGGCTAGACGAGTCAATCCATGACACGATCAGTTTAAACTCGTGTCATATACAAGTCACCTATTTACGACACGATCCATTTAAACTCTACTCTAATATGTTTAATTTCTGTATTAGACGAATCGTGTTCTTGTGTCATGCCCATTTTGACACTTCTAAAAACACTCTATGCAGTTTGATGCTCTAGATATTCACAAAAGATTTTAAAGACCAAATATTAATGGAGATCGGAGGAGAAAAATCTATTTTGTATTTCGATCTGCCGAAAAAGGAAAAATTCACAAATACACAAACATTTTTCTGCGGTGAGAAACAAATTGAACAAATGTTATTTTGACGAATTGATTTTCTATCAGTAAAACTGAAATAGTTTATTCAATTCGATTAATCATCCTTATCTTATTTGATTCGATTATTAATTAAACAAATGATATTTTTTAGTTGATTCAGTTTAACTGTCCAACTGAATCAATTTTTTTAGGAAGGGTAAAAATTGTGTTTCAGTTCCTTCAATTCGGTTTAATTTTTTCTATCAGTAACACCTAAATATTTCAATTTAATTCAGTTGAATTTAATTAATCATGCTTTTTCGGTTTGGTTTGATTAGTATATTTCTAGTATTCAGTTATTTTGATTAAGGGTGGTTGGGTTTAGTATTACCACACTTGGTTCTCCATTGGCCATTTATTACTTTTTTTTTTTAAATATATTTTTATAACTAAGAGGTTTAATCTTCTGGAGCCATAGGGTACAAAGGTTTTTGGCTATTTAAGCAAAGTGCTTAGGATCAAACTTGTGTTTTCATTCTTACGGGAATTGATATTGCTAACCACCCCAACTAACATCTTATTGGTATTGATCATTTATTTTGAATGAGCCAATAATGGCTCTAAATAATATTACTCCTTCCCTTCTTATATCTATTTATTTTGATTGTTGATTGATCATGATAGGTATATAAATTATTCATTTGAATAGAATTATTAGAAATTTTGACAATGACAAACAGATATATCATTGTCCACTATAGTCTAATTATGCAATAACACAAACAAACATATAGTATCACCGTCTAATGATGCAATATTCTTACACAAACACAACCAAATAAACATATGGTTACACTTTTAATAAAATTTTAATACAACTTCCAATATAAATTTAAAATATACAAGTTCTGATTTATATACAAAATTCATATAATTTATTTTCTGATTTTGATTATATTGATGAGTAAATCATATTTTATGGACAGAGTGATAAAAATTTTTATTATTATTCTTCCAAACAAGAGAGAATTTATTTCTTTAGGTATTTTTCATAATTATTTTCTTATCTTCAAAAAAAAAAAAAATCTCATCCAAATTAGCCATTTATTTTGAATGAACCAATGATGGTTCTAAATAATATTAATTCCTTCCCTTCTTCAATATGCTACATCTATACATACATTAACTAGTCAAATGTCGTGCTTCGCTCATGAGTAATTGATATTATTTAAATAAGTAATGTGCTATATTGTTATTTTAAAAAAAGAAATTATTTGTAATTTTATATTAAAATTAATAATAAAAATAGATTGAATAGAATTTTTTTTACACTTATTTCTTATTTTATCCACTAGATAGATCATGCATTGAAATTTAGTTAGAAATAAAACATAAATTTAAGTTTAAGTTTTTGATAAAAAATTATAAATTAAATATGTTGTTAAATTTCTTATATGTAAATGGTTATAAATATATTTAATAAAAAATAAAAATTAATTAATAAATATATAATTTTTTACAGATAAATCAATTGATAAAAAATATATTTTGTTACGTAATAAAATATAATAGAAAAAATTACAGTACAATACTTGTGGTTTGAGAAATACAACTAGTCTATTTCTATCTTTTTTAAAATAAATTAAAATATCCTTATATTTTACTTTCGTCAGACTATAAAGTTCTTCCGTCCAATTTTTGCATTTTTTCCATTAAGTACCTTATGAAATGACAAAAATACCTCTTTATTTTTAAAAACACAGAGACGAACTAGTTGTATTTTTTAAACTGTAGGGACCGTAGCGTAATTTTTTTAATATAATATTTTAGTATCTTTCTTTTAACCTTTGTATTTTCTTGTTGACTTAATGAAAAAGATGTAGAAAATGGATAGAAGGACCTAGTAGTATAACGAAAGTAAAATATAAGGACAAATTGATATATTTAAAAAAAAAAAAAAAAAGGACGTACTAGTTTTACTTCGGAAGGATCCTACTATGATTTTTCCAAAATAATAGAATTCAATTGAAGAGTCTATGAAAGCATTACAGACTCAATAAGATCCAGAGAAATTATTTTATCGTCCAGATCAATTAAAGGACTAATTGCTACTATGAAAATTTATATCGATCAAGTTATCTTCAAGCAGAAAAATCCACTATTATTTCTTTTAGTTGTAGTTTTATTATTCAAAAGAATATAGATAATTCTTTTATTATTAAAAGATCAACGAACTTTCTATTAATTATGATAGTGAGTTCTATATCTGGTCTAATTGAGTATTTATAATACTTAATTTTATTATTAAATAAAACCATGTGTTATTTAATGCACAAACACCCAAAAGAGATGAAACAAAAAATAAAAAATTCTAATAAAATAAAACTCACCAACTGAAAATCTAATTGACATTGTTTAATGAAATAAAACTCACCAAGCTCAGCGATAATTGCTGTAAAAGGGACAATGAAGTTGTTTTATTTGGACTATAGATTTATAGGCTTCACGACACGATTGTTGAGAAAGATTTACAGCCACCGTCCAACCAATACTAAATAGATGATGTTTAGGGTAGCCCGCTAGATAAGAAAAAAGTTTGAAAAAAGTTACAGTTCTGTATGTTTATTAAATATAAATTAGTTTTAAAAAAAGTTAACCCAATCAAATGGTAGAAAATTAAAAATAAAATTTCTAAAATTTTTTAAAAAAGAAAAATAGAAAGTCATATATAGATATATAGATTGTTGATTGATGATGATAATTATTAAAAGTTTTGACAATTACAAGTAAATATATCATAGTCCACTATTATGCAATATTCTTATAAAATTAACACAAACAAACATATAGTTTCACCGTCCAATGATGCAATATTCTTACACAAACACAAACAAATAAACAGATGGTTGCAATTTTAATACAACTTCCAATATAAAATTAACATATATATAATTTCTGATTTAAATACATGAGAAAATTTAACTAATTCTCCACTAAAATAGGTTACTTGTCTAAAAAGATCAAGAATACAAACAATCAAATAATAAAATAAAATCTGATATGAGGACCACGTCATTCTCTATTACATAAAACCAAAAGGATATCCCAAGCATCCTCGATAATCAAGAATACAAACAATCAAATAATAAAATAAAATCTGATATGAGGACCACGTCATTCTCTATTACATAAAACCAAAAGGATATCCCAAGCATCCTCGATAAAGCCATGTGCACCTATAACATCAAACCTACAAGACATAAACAAAGAAATATCAATAATGCATATTAGCAGGGAATCTCCCAAGACATGTAGCAAAAAAAAACGAAGAACCAATAAGCTATCAAATCCAAGCTAAGAAAGAAGTAGAACCCATCTGCAAAAAAGTTATCTTCATGCGATACATGAGCTAAGGAAATCCTTAGAGACCTCAAAAATTTATTCTAATTATTAGCCGTAATTTGCAACAAGTTATTCTTTATTTATTTGCTCATCGACCAAACCTTGAAATAAGAGTATTTCTAATCATACATTTTAAAAAAAAAATTGAAATACTTTCTAAAAAATATTTAATTTTATTTCTTTGGTTTATAAGTGGGGGTCATGGACCTGGGGTAGTCGAGTTTTTCCAAGCCCTTCATGCATTATGGACTAGCTAGTGAATTTATAATAATAGTTAGCGTTTTTGGTTTATAATCAATGCATGCTTGGTGCTGAATTAAAATGGTAATAGTTACAAATAATTCAGTAATGAAAAAAAATAAAAAAATTATTATTAAGAATAAAACTCTTTTCAGAACTCACCTAATAAAAACAAATGTCAATAAATATAGATATATAAATTATATCAATAAAAAATTATTATCAATAAAATATTATATACATACCGTCAATCTCAAACACAATAATGTTCATTTTATTTAAAATACAAATTTTAAAAAATTTTAAAAGGTAATTGTTTGTATTCTATTTGAAAATTTATTTTTTTAAAAATAATATCCAAGCAAATCATATGAATATAAAGAAAAAAAGAAATTAATAAAAGAATATAGTTTTTTTTCTTTAAAAGAATATAGTTTTTTTTCTTTTTTTTATTTCTCTTTGAAATAAAATATTTTAAATTATAATTAAAATAGAATCAAAATAAAAAATACAATATAAAAATTTTCAAATTTCTCCTTATCATATATATATTTATTAAAAATAAATTTTAAAAGGATAAAAATTAAAATTTTGAAATGCTTAATTATCTATATGTATTTTTTAAAAAATAATTTTACAAATATATTTAATCAACTAATAAAATGTAATTTTCTAATTGAATATAACTTAGGTTATTTTAGCATATTCTAAATTTCATTAAGGCTACTATCCGAAATCTCATTATTTCTTCTATTTTCATATTTATATATGGTATATATAGATAAATAAACCTCCAACCATATAAATAGACTAAACTCAGTTTAAACTTAATATTTAGTAATGATAATTATAATTTTTTAAAACATAATTTATTTAAAAATTTTTAAATTCCCAATTTGCAAAATTTTTATTTATTTTATATTTGTATTTTTAATTGGATTAAAGTTTTTTTCGTTAAATAAAATAAAATAATCCGCGCACATCGAAATAATATCATATTATCCATAATATTATCTTATCCTTATATACCACAAGTCAGTGGCAACCTTTACATGTTTACAATATGGACTGGCTAGTGAGTTTGTAAATAATAGTTAGTGTTTTTAGTTTATAATCAATGCATGCTTGGTTCTGCTGTAATGGAAACTGTGAAGCTAATTTATATTTCAAGCTCTACTGTGTTTGCGATCTTGATCTCATTTTTAATCAAGTTCTTCAACAAAGTATGGTGGACTCCCATGCGCATCCAATCCATGATGATGTCTCAAGGTATAAAAGGCCCTTCTTACAAACTCTTCTACGGCGTCTCAAGGTATAAAAGGCCCTTCTTACAAACTCTTCTACGGCAACAACAAAGAGATCATCCATCTGACAAATAAAGCTTCGAGCAATCCCATGGAATTATCACACCAAGTGTTTCCAACTGTATTGCCACACTTCCATTCATGGATGAAGCTTTATGGTAACAATTTATTACATTACTTGAATTTTTTTTTTTCTAACTATTAGTTATTTGTTTATTTTATTTTTTTTTTTTGTGAAATTATTGTAGGGAAGAATTTCCTTAGGTGGCAAGGTCCTCAAGCTTACTTGGTATTCTCAGAACCTAATGAACTTGTTAAAGAGATATTTAACAATAGAGATGGAGCATTTCCCAAACCCGAACCCGACAATTACACTAAGAAGCTAATAGGAGAAGGAATTGGAACTACTAGGATACCAGAAAAGTGGCTTAAGCTTCGTAAATTATCTAATCATGCTTTTCATGCAGAGTGCCTCAAAGTAAATAATCAATTTCTTGCTTTCATTTGTAACAGAGAAAATTTTCAAGTACTCGTAGGAATACGAATTATATGTGCATGGGTTTCTTTTGCAGAGTATGATTCCTGCCATGATAACAAGTGTGGAAATGATGCTTGAAAAATGGAGACATAATGAAGGAAAGGAAAAAATGATGCTTGAAAAATGGAGACATAATGAAGGAAAGGAAATTGAAGTGTTCCAAGAATTCAAAGTCTTAGCCTCAGAAATCATTTCCAGAACTGCTTTTGGAAGCAGCTACTTGGAAGGGCAGCGTATATTTGACATGATAAACCAGTTAACTCTCATTATTGGTAGAAACAGATATCGGATAAGAATTCCTGGAATCAGGTACGGTGCTTGGCTCTGCTATATACTAGTTCTTGAATTTATTGGGTTGGTTTTGTGTATGCCTTTAAATTCTTGATATATTTATATATTTCATTTTCTGTTGTTCCAGAAATCTTGTAAAAACCTGGGATGATATTGAATCAGAAAAGATAGATCAGGAGATACGAGATTCCATTATGAATATGATAAAGAAACGAGAAGAAGCAGCAATGATGAGTCAATCAAATGGCTTTGGGACTGATTTTCTTGGATTACTGTTGAAGGCACATCATGATAATAATGATCCTGATCAGACAAAGAGATTATCAGTTGAAGAAATGATTGATGAGTGTAAAACCTTTTATGTTGTTGGACATGAAACAACTGCAACTTCATTTACCTGGACAGTTTTTCTTCTAGCTATTCACACAGATTGGCAAGATAAAGCCAGGAAGGAGGTCCTTGAATTATTCGGCCAGCAAAGTCCAAGCTCAGATGGCCTCTCAAAAATGAAACTTGTAAGTTTTAGAATTTTATTAAAAATTGTTCATGCTATCCTTACAAGCTTATGCTTTTATATCCTGAAGCTTACAAGTCATTTTTCGCTTGCTCTGGAACTGGAAATGAATGCAATTCTTGAAATAGGATTCCTTTTTTTTTTTTTTTTTTTTTTTTTTTTTTTTTTTTTTTTTTTTTTTTTTTTTTTTTCACAGATCTAAATTTTTTTGGTTTTTTTATATTTGAATAACTTGGAATTTTTTTTTTTTTTTTTTTTTTTTTTTTTTTTTTTTTCACAAAGAATCTAAAATTTTTTGGTTTTTTTATATTTGAATAACTTGAATTTATACTGAAATGATATCTATTTCTAAGTGTAGTTCTCAATATAGCAAAAAGATTCTATTTCCATTCTTGTTTCATTTACAAAGTGAACCAAAAAATAACTAGGTGTGCTCTTAGTCATCGTACGAGAAGATTTAAGATTCAATTTGTATCCTCTTTTGTCATTATAGGTGAGCATGATTATCAATGAAGCTCTCCGGCTATATCCTCCAGTTCTTAGCATCCCCAAAGCGGTCCAAAGGCAAGTCAGATTGGGGAAGTTGGTTCTTCCTGCAAATATAGTAATCGAAATTCCAGTCATTGCACTACACCATGATCCTGAAATATGGGGAGAAGATGTTTATCTTTTCAAGCCAGAGAGATTTGCAGAAGGATTGGCCAAAGCTACAAACAACAATCTCAATGCCTATCTTCCATTCAGTTTGGGACCTCGAAGCTGTGTGGGATACAACTTTGCAATTACAGAGACTAAGATTGCACTGTCAATGATTCTGCAACATTACCGGTTTACTCTATCACCAACTTATGTTCACTCGCCTGTCAACCGTCTTACTGTGTGCCCACAACACGGAATGCAAATCATGCTCCATCCACTATAAGTTTAATGAGGATATTCTTTCCACTATGTAATTAAGCCCTTGGATTGATGCCTCATATATGGCTCAGTGTGGAATTAGATTTTTGGGTATCTAATGAAAAGTATGAATCCATTAAGACAAAAAGAAAAGTAAGTATTTTTGGGTATCAAATGATTTTGTATATTTCAAGCTGTGTGTTTTTCAGTTTTAAGTTTGTATACCAATTGAAAACAAAGAAAACATAATAAAAATGAGTAACATCAATACAATTTGCTAGGAAAATATTTCTCACTGCTAGTATCATTTGTCCAAACCTCATCTTTCTCTCTTCCTCCAACCATTTCTAAAACCAGAATTTGTAAATTTGAAGATTAGTCGGTCTAATTGGAGCAAGTAAACGAGTAATTTCAAAGAGAAAAAGGGTGAAATTAGAGGAATATTATATAGAGAGGCAATTAGGTGAAACAGAGAAATGAAGGAATAACGTAACTGAATATTAGCCACAGCTGAGGAAAATCAGCATTCCACAAATAAGCGTGTTCGTTTACTAAGAATCGGTGAGAAAATGAGAAGGCAGAAATAAACAAGAGAAAAAAGAAAGAAACAAAGAAAAAGAAGATGGATTGCAGAGAGAAGGTAAAACATAATTAGTTTAGTTCAGCGTTGTCGATAGTGTGGCCTCACATATTCAATTACAGATCGAGCCCAAGTAGAAAACCTAATGCTATTTATCAATACACATTTACAAGCCCACTTACAATCAAAGATAAAAATGGACAATGTAAAATTCCATAGAAATAAAAATACAAATACTTAGAGAATATGAATTCCTTTTATTTATTAAAAGATCAGCGAACTACTAATATAAATTTTATATTTGAACTATATGATTATTTTTAATTCTTAATATTATTATCAATGAATTATATTTAAAAGAAATATTTAGAGACGATTTTGAAAAGATATTAATATTGGGATAAAAATTAGTCATTTTTTAAATATGACGATGAAAAAATTTTCTGAAATTTTAATATACTAGATATGCACAAAATAGTTTAAATATCAAACATATTAATGGAGGAGCAGTTCAGATTATAAGGTTCCATTGCGAATTTATAGATTAAAGTATTCAATCACAAGGAAGTCGTAATTTATCTTTTTTTGAAAATTAAAGTCTCTAATCACAATGAAGTAATAATCTATTTTGTATTTTGAAGTGCCAAAAAAAATAAAAAACACAAAAACACAAAATTTCACTAGTACAAGACAAATTCCATTAAAAGATAGAAAACAAAAGTAAGTAAAACAAACATCCACACCAAGAAGGTGCTAAAAGACTCTAGATCTATCAATAATGACAGAGTAAATTCAAAATTTATTCTAAAAGAACACAAACTTAGAAATTATTAAAAAGAAAATTAAATAAAATAAAGAAATGAAATAGATAAAAAGGAATCACTACTAACCAGAGGTGTTAAGTTAAAATATTTAATAAATATAATTCTATAAATAAAAGTGTTTAATATATCAAAATAAAAATTTATGGTGCCACATATTTTTTCATAAATAATATAACAATGCATTTATGTACATTAGCGGTGAGGTTCAGTTTGCTTAAGCTGTCTTGTTTGATTTATTTTGATGAATTGATTTTGTATAAGTGAAATTGAAATATTTTTATTCAATACAATTAATGATCCTTATTTGATTTGATTCAATTATTAAATTGAACAAACGTTATTTTTTAGTTGATTCAATTCGACATTCCAACTAAATCAATTTTTTTAGGAAAGGTAAAAATTGTATTTGAATTCTTTCAATTTGGTTTAATTTTCTATCAATAAAACCTAAATATTTCAATTTAGTTCAATTAAATTTAATTAATCATACTTATTCGGTTTTGTTGGATTAGCATATTTTTCAGCATTTAGTTATTTTGATTAAGGGTGGTTGGGTTTAGTATTACCACACCTGGTTCCTTAGTGGCTATTTATTTTGAATGAACCAATAATGGCTTTAAATAGTATTACTTCATCCTTCTTCTTCTTCAAAATATATATTTTGTTGATCGATCGTGATAAGTATATAAACTATTCATTTCAGCAAAATTATTAGAAATTTTTTTTTTTAACTTTTTGATAATGACAAACAGATACATCGTTATCCACTCCGGTTTAGTTATGCAATATTTTTTTTTTTTTGACATGAGTCTAATTATGCAATATTCTTACAACATTAACACAAATAAAAAAACATATAGTTACACCGTCCAACGGTGCAATTTTCTCACATAAACACAAACAAACAAACATATGGTTACACTTCCAATACAATTTTATAGGGGTATGCATGAATGGGATTGGTACGGAAATTAAATAATTTTCATCTTAAAATAATGGAACATAAAAAATGAAATTCCAATCCTGTTTCAATAGATATATAGTCTCGTTCCATCTCGTCCCAATTTGGGTCTATTTGACAAGACAGAATGAGTCAGATAGAGAATTAATTATAATTTTCTGTAGTTTTGCTAAATTATTTTTCATAAAAAAAGATAATATTACTATATTCATCATTACAATCAAATAAAATTCATTTATATAAATTTGAATTAAAAAAAAGAATAAATTACATAATTAATTTCAATCATTGATGATCTACTACTAAAGTTATAATATAAAATTCTTAAGCAGTTACTTTTTAGTTGATAAGGGCATTAAATATAATAAAATAAAATAATTCAAAACTATATATAATTTAATATTACTCAGTATTGTTTTTTTTTTTTTACGGTTATCTTTAAACTGATTTAAATTTAATATTTATTTAATTTAATCATGAGTATCATCTGAAAAATAAATAATGATAACATTAAGCATAACCAATAATTCACTAATCAGATTAATTAAAATTAAAATTTTCTTTTATATTAATTAGTCTTTCTATTTTTTGTTTAATAAAAAAATAATTCAAAAAGATTTACTTAACACATACCGTAGAATAACAGAGAAAAATCTATGTTGAAAAACATGTTTAATTAATTGAATTGTTTTATATTTAAAAAAAATACATATTATTATTTTTTCGTAATATTATAATCTTAGCAAGTAATTGATATCATAAAAAAACTAAAAATAAAAAAAATGAAATGATTTTCATGGATAATTTGAAATTTATATAAAAAATTAGAATTTTAAAGAAAAAATGGAACAGAAATACTCAATTTTCGGGATGGTATGGGGCAGAATTTGGATTGGTATGGATCAGTTTTAATCAAATAAACAGTCTCATCTCATAATTATTTTTGGCCGAAATCGAAAACAAGATGTCACGACCCATTTCCACGAGTCGGACCGGCACTAGGACCTGGGTGAGCTTAAGTCCCCCGAAGCCTGTAGTAAGCTTAAATTGTGCAAACCTCATTTCCTATTCATAATTGTGGATACAGACCCAATAATTTATTTCAATTCTATATGACTAGTACAGTTCATATATTTAATATGGCCTTTTATTATTCATTTACAACCCAACTGGACTACAATTGCGGAACTCTACCTTTACATTTACTTCATTATTTCATTCACTAACAACTCTTGATAATTATTGTTTCAATTCCATAGGACTCTTCTTTCTTCTATTACCTAAAAAAAATAGGTAGGCAGGGGTGAGCGCCAAACTCAATCCTTTACATTTACTTCATTATTTCAATTCACTAACAACTCTTGATACATTAATTGTTTCAATTCGCACTCAGGACCTCTTCTTCTTCTATTACCTAAAAAAATAGGTAGGTGCAAGGGGTGAGGCGCCGAAATCAATGAGTAGGGTGTAGATAAACCTCTCACCCCATACAATCACACAGATGCTAAAAATATTTTACCTGGTCACCTGATTAAATTTTTATGAACATGCAAGTTGGTCACAGAATGGCAATACACAGCAATAATTTTATCACCTTATAAATCATAATCACCGTGAAAATTAGTCAGTGCGAGTCACCTAAACCCGATGGGCCGTCCTCCATATTGGCCCATCCAGTCAACATGTGGCATCGCAAGGGAGCCCAATCCCTAATTCTGGCCTGACCAGTATAAGCCTCACACTACCGGTCCTTGATTATTTTTTTTCCAGTCTCCTCTTTCTCTTTTTTTTTTTTTTTTTTTTAAAAATGTCAAAAGGAGGCAACCCGGTGGTCTGGTGGTCTCCATCCAATCTAGATCATCAAGTGCTCACAATAGGAGGCCACCCTGCGGGCTTCAATCAAATCTAGATTATCAGGTGCCAACAACAAGAAGTCATTCTGTGGTTTTCGGTAACGGTAATGGTAGGTACATACAGGAGCGCCGATCTCCCATTTACCTGGCTAATCAGGATCCATATAACGGTAAAGGTCTCACAAATCCATGGTGACCCACTTCATCCCAATTCCACATAAACAAGGCACAACAATATTACATCACAAGTAATCAAGCAATATTTAATATCAACAAATAGTGCATCACAATATGGCAATAATGCATGATAACATTTAGCCGTGAATGCATTGTGGGAAATGCAGTGAATGCAGGCGGATGAAGGGCCGAATTATCTAACACTGAACTCAGTTCTTTTATTGTACCTTTAAAAAGGAACTGCCTTTTTTAGCCACATGCTCCAGCTTTGTCCCTCCATTTTGGTCATTTTATACAACCTTTTAAAATAAACAAGAAAATTCTAAAATAAGAATTTTTTAATCAAAAACTTAGTATTTCACATTCGTTTATTTAATTTTGGTTACCGGTCATTTAAATTCACTTGTTAATATGCATATATATCGGGGTTTTCTCAATTATCTAACTATTTAATTTATAACCTCTAAATAAAATCTTTATTCGGTGAGGAATATTGTATAATGATAATTATAATATTGTATAATATTTCTTAATACCTAAAATTTTAGTCGTCACTACTTATTAAGAGTATGATTAATTTAATTCTCCATTTAATGCTTTATTAAAAATTCGGCAGCATTTCCTCTATAAACTGGTCTAGCCAAATTTTTACATCTATCACATATCAACACACAGCCCATCCAATTTACATTAACCGATCCCGTCCATCATAACTATCACTTATTAGTCATCCATCATACGTAGGCACTTGATAATTCTATCACCAATAAATTTTTAATTTTCGTAATATCATTAATT